GAGAGTATAGGCAACTACACTGAAGATGACATTTTTCACTAGGATACTTACTCTGGTTTACTTATTACCTGCTTTTGACATTTTACTCTGACTACAATGTGTTTTGTTTTGTTTTGTTTTGTTTTTATTCGTACCAGGGATCGAACTCACAACCACAGGCTTGCAAAGCAGGCACTTATGCCACTGAGCTAAATCCCCAGACCCCAATGTGTTGTTTTTTTAATATTATTATGTACTGCTCTATTCAATTATACTATGCCTGATTATATGGACAACTCTATTGAATAAAACAAGAGACAACACAGTAACCATTCTAAATCACCTTGTACTATAGTTTTATATGAAGTTTTTAAGGAATTTATTTTGTTCTGTCTTGCTATGCTTTGATTTTCCCTCTATTACAGAAAGGTTAGAAATACATGTAGAGCTTCATGCGTGCAAAGAACCTATTAGTAGTTTATAAGAACTGATTATATAATACATGATGAAATGAAGAGCTACTTTGAAGCAAAAGAGACACTACAGTAACAAGTGCTGATACCATAGTATCATAATGTGAAGTCCAGAAATACTACTATTCTTTGTTCAGAGTGATTTTCGTCTGTTTTGTTTTGTATAATTTCAACATACATGAAGATATGGACAACCAGCTTGAAGAGAATGAGAGACACTATGGCAGCCATTGTTGACTTTCCTATTTTCTGGTCTTAAAGCCTAAAATGCCTTCCTCATCCTGTTCAGATCAGTTCTATACTATATTGTTTCATGTGAATTCCCTGTATGTGAAGACATGGACAAATATTCAGAAGAAAACAAAAGACAATATGATAGTTAGTGAAGATCTCTGATTGTCTTGCTTTGAAATTTATGTCCCTTACATTGCTTTCTTATCTTCTGTTTTGTTTTGTTTTGTTGTTTTAATTTTACCCTCTTTAAAATAAATTCAATAAAGACAAGACACTCACTATGACCACTCCTATTCAGTATAGCTCTGAAAACTAGTCTAACAATTAGAGAAAAGAAAGAAACAAAAGGAATATTGATAGGAAAAGAAAAAGTTAAATTACCATTATTTGCTGGTTGGATGATAGTCTACATGGAAGACTATAAATATTTCATCAGAACACTCCCTAGAATTAGTAGCCAAACTGGAAAGTGTAGCAGGATACAAAATCAACAATCCAAAGTCTGTCATATTCCCATACATGAATAACAAACTCAATTAGAAAGAAATCTGGGGATCACATCTTTTATAGTTGCAAAAAAAGTGAAATACTTAGGTATCAATCAAAGAAGAACATGAAAGATCTTTATAATGAAAATACAGTACTCTGAAAAAAATGGCTAAAGAGAATATCAGAAAGTGGGAAAACTGTCCTTTTCTTAGCTAAGCAGAAACAATATAGTGAAAATGAACATATTTCCAAAACTGTTATATGGATACAATGCAATCCAATCAAAACACCAATACAATACCTCATAGAGCTAAAGAAAAAAAATCTTAGAATTGTTATAGAATCTAAAGAGACTCAGAATAGTGTTTGCTATTGCAATATCTTACAGCAAAGTCAAAGTAAGGGGATCACAATCCCTAATTTGAAGGTATACTACAAAGCTACTGCGATAAAACCAGCTTAAATTGGCCACAAAAAAACAAAAAAACAAAAAAAACAAAAAACAAAAAACAGACCCAAAGTTCAGTGGAAACAGAATAGAAGATTCAGAAATAACTGTAAATACACTTGAATACCTTATATTTGACAATGGGGCCACCATCACTAAAAGAAAGATTCCTTAATAAATGATGCTGGGAAAACAGGTTTCCAATAATTTAAAGACTAAACCAAAATCCATATCACTCAACGTGCACTAAACTAAAGTTGAAATGGACTAAAAATCTAAACATAAAAACAACAACAATAAGAAAAAAAAACTGCTGGAAGATAAAATTAGTAGAATTCTAGAAGACCATAGATGTAGGAAAAGATTTTATCAACAAAACCGAAATCTCATAGGAGATATTACAAAGAATCAAAAACTTGTATTACATCGAATTTGTCTTAGTTAATTTTTACTTGTTGCTGAGACAAAATACTTGAAGCCCAAAGTTAGGAAAGGAAAGGTTTATTTCTTACAGTTTTGGAGGTTTTAGTCTGTACTCAGTTGGCTCCAAGGCAGAGTGGCATGGTAGAGCTACAGTTTACGGTGGCTGCAAACAGCAAGGCAGAAATGAGCAAGAGATCAAGACACTCCTTCTTCCTGCCATTACATTACATCCTGGCTCCACCCCTATGTGGGTGTAACACTGTCATCAAGCACTAGACAATGAACCAATCACAAATGCACAATGGAAACTCATAAGGCCTGGGGGCTACGGACATAAACCATGACATTCTACCAGTGGCCCCCAGAACTCATGTACATCCTTTATACAAAAGACATTTAGTCCACCTCTAAGAGTCACCAAAGTCCTAACAGTTTTAGCATTGGTGAATAGTCTAAGACACAAGTCTCTTGTAAGATCTTTGGTAAACTCTTAACTGTAGCTCCCTGTACAAATTAAACAAGGCTAAACATTTTTTGAAATATAAAGGCACAGGATAAACATTATAATTTTAAAAGTTACAAACAGGGGAATATAAAGCATTGGAAACAAAGCAAGTCCAATATCCATCAGGACAAACATTAAATCCTAGAGTTTCATGCTCAGCATCTGAAGCAATCTGGTTGCAAGCTCTAAAAGGCTTGGCTGATTCCACCCCCACAGCACTTTTAGGGATTTTAGCTCTGGCAGCTTTGTTTTTTAAATCCTCTCTGCTCACTTTTTGTAGCTTTTCTTGGATCATCTACATTTTTGGCTTTTTAAAGGTTTGTGGTCTCCACTGCACTTTGGCTTCACCTTTACATCTTTATAAATTGCCTTCTCGGGGGCACACTGCTTGGCCTCCCAGACCCTTTGCAATCTAGGTGGAAGCCATCTTACCCTCTGAATTTGTGCAATTTTTTTGTACCTAAAATCAGTACCATGTGGATGTCTCAAAGTTTGCTGTTAGCTGGAGCAGTAACCAGGCTTTTTTTTCTCTTGGCTGTAGGGGTCAGTTGCCTGGATTGAAGGGCTCTGTTCACCTGATTGTGAGGAAAAGCTTTTCTATGTTGTCGTCATTTTGTAACCTCATGTGGCCTCTGTCACCATTTTGCCACATTATGTGGCCTCTGTCACCATTTTGTAACCTCATGTGGCCTCTGTCACCATTGTGGAACCTCATGTGGCTTCTGTCACCATTTTGGAGAATGGTGCTCTGCAAGTTTTTCCTGTGAGCACTTTTTTTTTTTTAATCTTTTTGTTTCTCTTCTGCAATCAAAGTCTCAACTCTGTCTTTACACAGCATTACTGGAATTTTTTTTTTTCTGGGCACACTCACAGTACTGCAAATTATTCTGCTGGACTCTTTGCTCTTGATCTGCAATATAGAGCTAGCTAAAAGCCCCAAACAATAGCCATGTCACAACCTCAATATTTGATTGCTTTGAAATTTTCTTATCTAGATTAATCAGTCTATTGCCCTTTGTTTTAGTCTCAGGCAAAGTTTCTGGGCATGAGCAAAATGTAGACAAACTTTTTGCCAAGCCATAACATACATCATGGCGAGTCCAACAACCAATGCAATCTTTTTTCCTTGTAGAAACTACCAAAACCTGGTCTTCACCATGAGGCTTTTTATCAGCGTTTTGGTCTCCTGAGCTCTGACCAGAATCTCTACTAAAGAACAGTCTAGGTTGCTCCAGCTCTATAAATCTAGGCAACATGTTCAAACCTTTTTAAACCCTTCCCACAAGCCATTTTCAAGGCCTCTTCAAAAACATGGTCAAATATAGCCACGGCAAATGACCCCACTCTCAGTACCAAATTCTGTCTTAGTTACTTTTTAGTCATTGCTGAGACAAAATACCTGAAGCCCAAAGTTAGGAAAGGAAAGGTTTATTTCTTACAGTTCTAGAGGTTTTAATCTATACTCAGTTGGCTCCAAGGCAGTGTGGCATGGCAGAACCACAATTTATAGCAGCTGCAAACAACAAGACAGAAACCAGGAAAAGAGCAAAACATGCCATTACATCCCATCCTGGCTCCACTCCTAGGCAAGTGTAGCACTGACACCATCAATCCAAGCACTAGACAATGAACCAATCACAAATGCACAATGAAAACTCATGAGGTCTGGGGGCCACAGACATTAAACTATGACACAATTAAAAACCTTTTGTACAGCAAAATAAATCAACAGTTGTGTGGAGAGACAACATATAGAGTGGGAAAAATGTAACAGCTGTTCCTCTGGTATATATCTATAATCTATAAAAAAATTATAATAATCAGAACCCTAGATTCAAAGACCCAATCAAATAATGGGCATCTTGGGGGCTGGGGATTTAGCTCAGCAGCATAAGCACCTGCCTTGCAAGCAGGCAGTCGTGAGTTCTATCCCTGTTACTGATAAAAAAAATTAAAAACAAAAAAGACAAAAAAAAAATAATGGGCATCTGAAATGAATAGTGACTTTGCAGATGGAGTATAAATGATAAATATATGAAAAATATTTAACATCACTAGTAATTCAAGAAAATTGAATTAAAACATACCAAGATTAAATCCCAGTTCAGAAAAAATGACTATCATAAATAAATCAACCAATAATAAATGCTGGTAAGACTGTGGAGAAAAAGTAACCCTTCTTCATTATTGGTGGAAATGTAAACTGGTACAACCACTGTGGAAATGAGTATGGAGATTCCTCGAAAAAACTAAAACTAGAAGCTTCATTAGACCTAATTATTTCCCTTTGAAGAATATTTCCAAAAGCTTTAAAAGTGTCAGACCACAGTGATATATGCATACCCCTGCTTATAGCAGCACAATTCGTAGTAGTTGCATACTAGTAACAGCCCATATGCCCATCAACAAATGAATGGATGAAGAAAACAGAATTTATATACAATGAAGTAACACTCTATCATACAGAATGAAAAACTTGAATCATGTGCAGGGGCCATGCTAATCTTCTCTGTATCGTTCCAATTTTAGTAAAAATGCTGGCAAAGTGAGCACAGAATGATAAACTTGAATCATGTGGTGTAAACTGGATGTACCTCAAGACCATAATTTTAATTGGAATATGTAAGATACACAGTTTTAACTACCAAGTTGTTTCTCTTCTGTGAGAAACCCAAAGTGTAGATAAGGAACACAATGATGGGTGGCTACTGGGATGTAGGAGAAATATGTTCAAATATTCATTGGGAAAGGGAACAAGAGAAGGAAAAGGAAGAAAGGAAGGAGTGGAAAAGGCGTTAATAACAAACAAAGAAAGGAAAATATGAAAACAAAACTTCTATAAATAGGAAGAGGAAGAAAGGTTGAAAGGTTGTAGGCAGAGGAGAAGAATGTGAAAAAAAAGAATATATACTACATAGAAACATTTTAATATATACTACATAAGGGCCCAAATTCACTATGATGAATGCACTATCTATGACAAATATATAATAATAAAAATTTAAAAATAAAAATCAAAGTTTATATAGAAAAAAATGAATTGGCTCATTTAAGGAATGATAGTATTGTTCTATATTGTTCAAGAAGTCAAAACATCATTAAATGATACTTAAACATATTACACTTACATTGTTCTTGGGTCACTCTCATTTCTTACCCTGTCAGTTTGCAAGTTTCCTTTAGATTTCACTTCCTGTTCTGTGGAAATGTCAAGCCAAACATGGAATCTTAGGATTTTCTTAGGTATTCTGTAAGCCTGTTTCCATCCTGGATATATGTATAGTATCCTAAATTTTGCATAATATATGGAAATTTCAAAATTTTCATTCCTCCATGTCTCTTCCCCTACTCTCCTTTTACTCATATATTTTCTATATATTATGCTCCCAAACTGTTTTCTATTCCCAGTTACAGTTGTCCATGGTTAATTTTATTGGTATTTAGTCCTTTAAACAAATGTTTCCTATGATTTAAATAACACTTCAAGACATTGGAAAGTATAGAGCTGACCAAGTAAGGACTAGTCATTTTAAGACCTATCAGGCAAGGATCATTGTTAGGCATATTACACCATTAGAGTAGGATAAACTGTCTATTATTTTGTCATATCATCAACCGACAACAGAGACATGAGCTGCTATCAAAATTAACTTCAAATTTTGTTGTGAGGGATGCAATTTGGTTACACTAAATACCTCATAATGTGTACATAAAAATTCAGGTTTTTTTCTTTTTGATAAGTATTTTAGTGCTTGTTCTTATTTTTAGCTCCCTATACATATATATACATATATACAAACATGTATATATTTATGTGCATATATATGTGTGTCTTATTCTTCTCTTGAGAACTCATGCTCTTTTAGTTATTCTATTTCCTTACTGCAATGATTGTAGTTTGTATTACAGTGTAGTATAAATGTAATGATAGGAGTTATCACAATCATGAAATCACTGGGAAATTTTAACTGATTTACTTTCTTTAGAATAATTGGGTTGCATGAAATTAACACAATTTAATTTCGTTTCACAAACTTACAGTTAATTTCTATAGTACTTCCATTTAGCTGAAAAGGCCCCTTAACTCCGTTTATAGTTGCCCCTATTGTTATCTGTAGTCAAGGAAAATCACCAGTCTAGATTTTCTGTTGATCATTTCATATTGTTTTGTGTTTTTCATTTACAAAAAACGTTTTCAAAATCCAGTGAGTCAACATGAGAAGTTTAGAAGTTCAACTAAGTAACTGAGCAGGTAAACATTCTCATCATGTGCAAGAGGGGGGCAAAGGGATTTTGCGCATGCTACACCCACCCTGGAGGAGGATGGCCTGTGTATGATATAAGGGAGGAAAAGAGCCTTGATGTTCCCCACTTAGCCCTTTTGTTCTTGTTTGCTGTCATCTGCCACCTTGAAGTATTGCTCCTGTGCCTCCTCACCCTGCTTTGGAGCCAGCTGATTATAGACTGAAAACCTCCACAAACTATAAGCTAAATAAACACTTCCTTTTTTTCCTTTTGGGCTTTGGGTATTTTGTCTCAGTGAGAGAAAAGTAACAAAGACAGAATTTGGTACCAGAGAAATGGGGTTCCTGCTGTTACTATTCCTGAACATGTGGTTCAAACACTTTTGGGGACTGGCTTATGGGAAGAGTTTGGAAAGTGTTAAAATTATCACCTGAAATAGTAGCTCTTCTTTACCAGAGATACTGATCAGTGCTCAAAAGACCAGAAGGCTGATAGAAACCCTACCAATAGAGATCAAGTTCAGGAGTTTTTGCTGGGAAGGGCTGCATTGGATGCTGGACTCCAGATGATATATGTTACAGCTTGGCTAACAGTTGTCTGCATTTTGTTTTCATTGTAGAATTTGCCTGTGATTGAGATTAAAGGCAGTGGACTAATTAATCTGGTAGAAGAAATTTCAAGGAAATCAAGCGCAGAGGTTGTGGCCTATTGTTTGTGACTTTTAGCCAGATTTTTGTTGAAAATCAAAAACAAAGAGTCCAGCAACATGATTTAAAGTGCTGTTAGTTAGAAAGGAAACTTTATTAAAGCAGTGAACTACAAAGATAGAGTCGAGGACATCTCTAATGCTTAGAAGTAACAGGACAATTAAAAAATGGCCAGCCTGAAACATAAAAGTAAAAAAAACAAAACAAAACAAAAAAAAAAAAAAAAAAAAAAAAAACAAGTCTTGAACCTTTGCAGCCTCAAAACTGCAAAAGTGAAAGACTTTCCTCTGAGGCAAAAGTTACAGAGCACCATGTTCCAGAATGGCAGCACAGAAAATTTGTTACTCACAATAGGATTCAGAATGCCCAGTAATCTAGACATTCAACTCCTCCAGCCAAGAGAGAGTAAAGTCTGACTACTGCTCCAATGCACAGCAGATGTCAGCATCATCTACTTGACACTGGTTTTAGGTACATACAGAATACAAGAGTTCTGAGGCTAAAAAGGCTTCCACTCCAATTTCAGAAGGCCTGGAAGGACAGGCAATGTGTCCTTGTGTGGTTTAGAGTGTGAAGCGGTGATTATGAAGCCAAATGTGCAGTGGAGACGCCAGCAGATTGGAAAAGTCAGGAATGTGGATCATCTAAGGAAAGTTGCAAGGAGAAAGCAAAGCCAGCCCAGAGGGAATCTATGGGTGCTACAACCACCGGAAGTTCTACAGTGGTAGAGTGATGCAAGCTCTTTAGAGCTCAAAATTTGCCAGATTACTTCAGATGTTGGATGTACAACTACAGGACTTAATGTCTGCCCTGCTAGATTTTGGATTTGCTTTTCTTCTAATCCTTTGTATACACCTGTTTGCAGCTTTTGGAATGAAAATGTTTTATCTTATGCCATTGAATGTAAGAAGTATTTACTTTGTTTTCATTTATACAGGCAGTTGCAATCAAGAGTTTGCCTTACATTTTGGAGGAGACTTGGGACATGGTCTTGTCAGTAATGCTGAAACTGGTAGGACTTCGGCAACTTTTAGGAATGCACTAAATGCCTTTTATATAACATGATGTGCATAAGTCATTGAGGGGACAGGGACAAAATGTTATGATTATAATATAACACAATATGGATAGACTTAATAATGATCCTTTGAGAATTGTCAAACATCTGTTATAATGTTCAAATTATGAAATGGCAAAAATAAGCATGTCTTTCTGTCTAGAAACATGTTTAAAGAAATGTGTGGTTTCAAAATTGACAAGGGTGGATTTGTGCAGTTGATACATTGTGTCAACTTGAGAAGTTTTTCTAGACTGAAAAGCTTAACTGAAAGATTCAGCAGGGAGCCAGGGTTCTTACTTTGTAAATATCCTCATCCTGTGTAACAGGACAGCAATGAGATTTTGTGCTTTGTAAATATCCTCATCCTGTGTAAGAGGACGGCAACTAGATTTTTGGAGAAGGAGGTGGCTTGTGTACAATATAAGGGAGGAAAAGAGGCTGCTCTTTCCCCCAATTTGCTCTTGTTTTGCTGTCTTCTGCCATTTTTACGTATTACCCCATTGCCACACCACCCTGCCTTGGAGCCAGTTGATTATGGACTGAAACCTCCACAAACTTCAATCTAAATAATCCTTCCCTGCCTTACTTTTGTGCATCAAGTGTTTTGTCTCTCCAAAGAGAAAAATAACCAAGCCATTTCAGGTATTAGTATTTTTATTCTTTATATTGTCAAGATTGATTAATGCTATAGCCACGTATTTTATTTAAATATTACAAAATACCTCATCACTGATTCCACTTCTTCCACATATATAATATTTATATATATTTTTGTTACCAAGTGATATTTATGGTATTTCTTAGATAATTGAACCTTTTGCTAGTTGATATTATAAACAATATTAGACTAAATGACTGAGTTGTGTATTTGCCTATGCATGTACATACTCACACACACCATATACCTTGTGGTATCACTGTGTCATTTTATAAACTCATGTTTTGTTCTTTACTTAAAAGGAATTATGAATACATTTTATGCTACAGGTATTCATATATACTATTTTTGCATCATTGATTACATGCCACACTTTAAAATGATTAATTTCTCTAGTTTTCTGACATCTATTTTGTCTTCATTTCCATATCCCAGAAATAATTTGGTCTATTTGAAGAATTTGTACAGGACACTTTTATCTTGCTTGGTATGCTCTTGTAATTGCTTTACCTATCTAGAGATTCAATTATCTTATTTTGCTGTATTCATGCCACCCTGACAACACAACTACATAAATCGTCAATATATAACTCAGATGTTGGGTATCCATGAATCAGCTCATTCCAATACTATACCTTTTAGAAGTGAAACCTTTAACTCAAGAATAGGGATGTAATTTTAACATAATTGAATGTAACTTGTGTTAATGTATTATTATGGATTAGTTGGGTCCAATACAAGTTTTCAGCGTTAATTTCTTAGCTTTCATTGGAAAGGGTTAGCTGTTACCTAATCTCACAAATATATAAGTCACACACTATAGTTTATAAGCATGGAATTGTGCATAATAAATATTTTGTTCCACAGAGTTTATTGAATAAAA